GGTGAGGTCGTGCTGGGGTGTGGTCGTGCTGGGGTGTGGTCTTGCTGGGGTAGGGTCGTGCTGGGGTCGGGTCGTGCTGGGGTGTGGTCGTGCTGGGTATGGTCGTGCTGGGGTGGGGTCGTGCTGGGGTGGGGTCGTGCTGGGGTCTGGTCGTGCTGGGGTGTGGTCGTGCTGGGGTATGGTCGTGCTAGGGTGGGGTCGTGCATTTCGCTCGAAACATCCTGCCAAAATTCCAGGAAATCGTACAAAAACAAAGGAATTAGTCGAGACATCATCGAAATTCCTTCGCGCGGGGCGCTTTTCCGCGTCGCGGTCGGCTCTGCAAAACCAGCGTTTCGCTCGAGACATCCCAACAAATTCTGAACCAAGCGTTTCGCTCGAGACATCCTCAAATTTTAATTCGCCGGCCTCAAAAACAAGCGTTTCGCTCGAGACCTCCTCAAATTTTAATTCTCGGGCTCGTTATTTATCAGGGAAAAATTCGCCGGCCTCCTTCGACCTCGTTATTTATCAGGGAAAAAATTCGCCGGCCTCCTTCAAGCAGGCACCGGGGGACTAGGTTTACCTACTAAAAGAGAACCCTGGGCCGGAGCCCTTTCCGGGAAACATGATGGACCCACGAACCCGGAAAGGGATATAGACATGTGGAGCATGGACACGATTTCATGATACCCAACTGGGCAACACCTCACGAAACATCCCACGAGACACCTCACGAAACAGCCCACGAGACACCTCACGAAACATACCACGAGACACCACACGAAACATTTCACGAGACACCCCGCGAAACATTCCACGAGACACCCCACGAAACATTCCACGACGACAGGCAACCACTCAACCACGGCGGTGTGGTCGTGCTGGGGAGTGTTCGTGCTGGGGTGTGGTCGTGCTGGGGGGTGGTCGTGCTGGGGGGTGGTCGTGCTGGGGGGGTGGTCGTGCTGAGGGGTGGTCGTGCTGGGGCGTGGTCGTGCTGGGGCGTGGTCGTGCTGGGGCGTGGTCGTGCTGGGGCGTGGTCGTGCTGGGGTGCGGTCGTGCTGGAGTGTGGTCGTGCTGTGGTAAGGTCGTGCTGGGGTGTGGTCGTGCTGGGGTGTGGTCTTGCTGGGGTGGGGTCGTGCTGGGGTGTGGTCATGCTGGGGTGGGGTCGTGCTGGGGTGTGGTCGTGCTGGGGCGTGGTCGTGCTAGGGTGGGGTCGTGCTGGGGTGGGGTCGTGCTGGGGAGTGGTCGTGCTGGGGTGTGGTCGTGCTGGGGTGTGGTCGTGCTGGGGCGTGGTCGTGCTGGGGTGGGGTCGTGCTGGGGTGGGGTCGTGCTGGGGTGTGGTCGTGCTGGGGTGGTCCGCACCCTGTGATTCATCGATCGGGTCGTGCTGGGGTGTGGTCGTGGTGGGGTGTGATCGTGGTGGGGTGTGGTCGTGTTGGGGTGTGGTCGTGCTGGGGTGTGGTCGTGCTGGGGTGTGGTCGTGCTGGGGTGTGGTCGTGCTGGGGTGTGGTCGTGCTGGGGGGTGGTCGTGTTGGGGGGTGGTCGTGCTGGGGGGGTGGTCGTGCTGCGGGGTGGTCGTGCTGGGGCGTGGTCGTGCTGGGGCGTGGTCGTGCTGGGGCGTGGTCGTGCTGTGGTGAGGTCGTGCTGGGGTGTGGTCGTGCTGGGGTGTGGTCTTGCTGGGGTAGGGTCGTGCTGGGGTCGGGTCGTGCGGGGGTGTGGTCGTGCTGGGGTATGGTCGTGCTGGGGTGGGGTCGTGCTGGGGTGGGGTCGTGCTGGGGTCTGGTCGTGCTGGGGTGTGGTCGTGCTGGGGTATGGTCGTGCTAGGGTGGGGTCGTGCATTTCGCTCGAGACATCCTGCCAAAATCCCAGGAAATCGTACAAAAACAAAGGAATTAGTCGAGACATCATCGAAATTCCTTCGCGCGGGGCGCTTTTCCGCGTCGCGGTCGGCTCTGCAAAACAAGCGTTTCGCTTGAGACATCCTCAGCAAATTCTGAAAACAAGCGTTTCGCTCGAGACATCCTCAACTCTGCAAAACCAGCGTTTCGCTCGAGACATCCTCAAGAAATTCTGACATGATGGACCCACGAACCCGGAAAGGGATATAGACATGTGGAGCATGGGCACGTTTTCACGATACCCAACGGGGCAACAACTCACGAAACATCCCACGAGACACCTCACGAAACATCCCACGAGACACCTCACGAAACATTCCGCGAGACACCTCACGAAACATTCCAGGAGACACCCCGCGAAACATTCCCCGAGACACCCCACGAAACATTCCACGACGACAGGCAACCACTCAACCAAGGCGGTGTGGTCGTGCTGGGGAGTGGTCGTGCTGGGGTGTGGTCGTGCTGGGGGTTGGTCGTGCTGGGGTGTGGTCGTGCTGGGGGGGTGGTCGTGCTGGGGGGTGGTTGTGCTGGGGCGTGGTCGTGCTGGGGCGTGGTCGTGCTGGGGCGTGGTCGTGCTGGGGTGTGGTCGTGCTGTGGTGAGGTCGTGCTGGGGTGTGGTCGTGCTGGGGTGTGGTCTTGCTAGGGTGGGGTCGTGCTGGGGTGGGGTCGTGCTGGGGTGGGGTCGTGCTGGGGTGTGGTCGTGCTGGGGTGTGGTCGTGCTGGGGTGTGGTCGTGCTGGGGCGTGGTCGTGCTGGGGCGTGGTCGTGCTGGGGGGTGGTCGTGCTGGGGGTGTGGTCGTGCTGGGGGGTGGTCGTGCTGGGGCGTGGTCGTGCTGGGGGGGTGGTCGTGCTGAGGGGTGGTTGTGCTGGGGCGTGGTCGTGCTGGGAAGTGCTCGTGCTGGGGTGTGGTCGTGCTGGGGTGTGGTCGTGCTGTGGTGAGGTCGTGCTGGGGTGTGGTCGTGCTGGGGTGTGGTCTTGCTAGGGTGGGGTCGTGCTGGGGTGGTTCGTGCTGGGGTATGGTCGTTGCGGGGTGGGGTCGTGCTGGGGTGGGTCGTGCTGGGGTCTGGTCGTGCTGGGGTGTGGTCGTGCTGGGGTATGGTCGTGCTAGGGTAGGGTCGTGCATTTCGCTCGAGACATCCTGCCAAAATTCCAGGAAATCCGTACAAAAACAAACGAATTAGTCGAGACATCATCGAAATTCCTTCGCGCGGGGCGCTTTTCCGCGTCGCGGTCGGCTCTGCAAAACAAGCGTTTCGCTCGAGACATCCTCGGCAAACTCTGCGGAGCAAGTTTTCGCTCGAGACATCCTCAACACACGAAAAAGTGGCCCGCACCCTGTGATTTATCGATCGGGATTTCAAAAACAAGCGTTTCGCTCGAGACATCCTCAAATTTTAATTCGCCGGCCTCCTTCGACCTCGTTATTTATCAGGGAAAAAATTCGCCGGCCTCCCTCAAGTTGGGCACCGGGGGACAGGTTTACCAACTAAAAGAGAACCCTGGGCTCATGCCCTTTCGGGAAAAACAAGCGTTTCGCTCGAGACATCCTCAAATTTTAATTCGCCGGCCTCCTTCGACCTCGTTATTTATCAGGGAAAAAATTCGCCGGCCTCCCTCAAGTTGGCACCGGGGGACAGGTTTACCTACTAAAAGAGAACCCTGGGCCCCCGCCCTTTCCGGGAAAAAGAGTCCCCAGACTATCTTTGAAGTATTTGTTTTGACTATTTTGGGGGTATTTTTCATTTTTCGTCGAAGATCCCCCTGTAGGCCCGACTTACAACCAGGGCCGTGGGAGGGGTCGGCGCGGGCGCCGGCGGGGGGGGTCCAGGGCCGCAGGCCTGCCACACGCGTGGCCTCCGAGCAGCCTCGGGGGTCTCTCTGCCAGAGGGTGGGTCCCCACGTGGTGTCGCTCGGCCGTGTGCATTCGTTGCTCGGCGAGGATCATCGAGGATCGGGGTTGGACAGACCTCCTACCCTGACACGTCGATTCAGGAATTGACCGTTTTCGGTGCGCGAGGGGGCGTCGCGGCTGTCATTTTTGCGGGTCCAGGTCCGTCGGTTTCGGTCCCAGGCCGTTTTCACCAAGGGGAGGTCTACTAAAGGGAGGTTTGTTCACCGCCGAAGGGTGGGTCCCCACCTGGTGTCGCTCGGACGTGTGCACTGCTGCTCGGCGAGGACCATCGAGGAGCATCTTGTCCGCGTGCGATATGTGCGCACCGTACCTCAAGGGCATAAAAACGCCCCTACCCTGGTTTACGAGGCGCTGTGCGCTGAAACTCCTGTGGGCTGACAGGGTAAACCCTGCGTGATGTGCCGCGTCCTGGCGGCTCTAGGCTTTGGGGGGCCCCAGGAGGTTTACGGACCACGCATTTGCAACCCAGGGTAGGGCCGTTTTTTCATCCCTCAAGTACCGCGTTGGCGCCTCTCGTGGCGTCGTCGCCTCTCGACCCAGGAATTGTCCGGGGCATGCAATGGATCCAACCTCCGGAGGCACCCGAACTACTGTGCACCGCGCCGCGCGGGGGCGGGGCCCGAGCCGGAGTCCAGGCACGGTGCGGTGCACGGGCGCCGCTCTCGTACCCTGGAGCCCCTTGCGACAAAAGGAAAGGCACGACGCCGACAAGTGC